GAAGAAGGTGGAGAAGAAGGTGAAGAAGAACCAGCCTCCACTCTAAAATCGCCATCTTGCTTTTTATACATTACTATATATATAATTATACAATTATATATAATTGTACATTATATATATATATGTATAACTATTATTATATATTTATAAAACTTTAAACTCTTCCACCGTGTGATATTACACACTTCTATTCAAACTCCACACCCACAATTCCAATTTTATCATTCCCTTTTGGAAGCTTCTCCACAGCCTCAGGTCAGTGCAGTGCTCTCCTGGGGGTCAGTGCCTGGCAGCACAGAAAGTCTCAAATTCTCACCAATATTACACTTCTGCTATTCTTTTATTCTTCCAGACAGGCTGAGAAAACTGTTCAAATGAGTGATAGATACACAGAGCCCATCTCTGGGCCTGGCCTTTCCTCCTCAGCTCTCACAGCTGCTGCAGCCCCCTTCTCTCTGTTAAAGATACATATTATAATATTGGCTTTTTGCATATGTTAAAATATATTTTCCATGTGTAGTGTTAAAGTAACTTTGTTCTAAAAATATAGTTTTTATTTCTGTTGTTAATTAAACTGAGTGAAATAGCTGATGTAAGTATGCTTGTGTTAAAATGCCTGCTTGGATGGGATAACATCCAATGAATATATGAAAAAGACACCTGATACAGATCTGCCAACCACCAGCACTCACCGTCTGAAGAGAGTGCAGACCAAAGCCCAAAAACTGGAGGAAATAAGAATACACTAAAACCAAAAGGTATTTAAGGGATATCCCCAAAAGTAACAGTGTGCTCTTGCCTGAGTGCAAAGATGCACCTGGCCATAACAACCTTTACTCTATAATCCTTATCTCTTATTGTCTCCTTAATCTCCTATTAAAAAGTTTATTAAACTTTTAAATTTTCCCAAGAAAGTGAACATGTTTTTCACAAGTGCTGCTGTGGCTGCCCTTGTCACTCCTTCTCTGGAAAAAAACCTATGATGGGTGTGCAGAGGGCAGAAGAAGGGTCAGCTTCTGGGGCTGCTCCTTAGCTGGGGAAATCCCACAGAGAGAAAGCTCAAGGATAAATGCACAGAGAAAAAGCTCAAGGATAAATGGATAGAGAAAAAGCTGAAGGATAAATGGACAGAGGAAAAGCTCAAGGATAAATGGATAGAGAAAAAGCTCAAGGATAAATGCACAGAGGAAAAGCTCAAGGATAAAGGGAAAGAGGAAAAGCTGAAGGATAAATGCGCAGAGAAAAAGCTCCAGGATAAATGCACAGAGGCAAAGCTCAAGGATAAATGGACAGAGAAAAAGCTGAAGGATAAATGGACAGATGAAAAGGTGAAGGATAAATGCACAGAGAAAAAGCTCCAGGATAAATGGATAGAGAAAAGCTCAAGGATAAATGCACAGAGGAAAAGCTCAAGGATAAAGGAAGAGAGTTAACAGCTCCAGGATAAATGCACAGAGAAAAGGTTAAGGATAAATGCACAGAGGAAAAGCTGAAGGATAAAGAAAGAGAGGAACAGCTCCAGGAAAAATGCACAGAGAAAAAGCTCAAGGATAAATGCACAGACGAAAAGCTGAAGGATAAATGCACAGAGGAAAAGCTCAAGGAAAATTCCCTGCCTCCCTACGGGAGCGCTCCTCACCAGCCCCACCTCCCCATGCGTGCCATCCTCCCCATGCATTTCCCAGCGGCGGGCCGCAGGGCTGTTGACTTTGCGGAGGTTGTTGATTTTGCGGAGGTGGTTGATTTGGCGGAGGTTGTTGACCCTGCGGAGGTTGTTGACCCTGCGGAGGTTAAAGGCACCAAACGGGGCTCGGCAGGCGGGCTCCCGCTGTGTCCCCGCAGGAGCCGTGGGAAGATGCCGCGGCCCCGGCCCCCGCCGCGGCGCCGAGTGGCGGCGGCAGCTGCGCGGCCGCGGAGCCCCGCGGGCTCCCAGCGCAGGGGGCACCGGGGATCTGCTGCTCCCACATCTGGGATGCAGCAGCGACGGCGAGAGCTGCCCCGGCGATGAGGGCGGGGGGGAAGACAAGCGCTAAGCAATAGGACTGAGAAGCAAGCTCCGGCTTTATTCAAAGATACCTTAGCTTGTATGGGGTATTCTACAGGCATGGGCAGCGGTAAGCTCTGACCGCTTCATTTACAAAGGGCTTTGTTTTATTTCTCCTGCGTGCGGTTACAGATGTAGCTAAGTTCTCTCTCCAAGCCAAGTTTGTCATCTCTGAGCCATGCCTTCCAAGGACAGAGCATATCTTTGAGGCTATGCCTGTTCTTATTATCCTGTTCCCAGACCTTGTACCACTATGCAATTTCCCAGAAACAGAGACCGGTTTCCAAGCTGTGTATCCCAAGTTCCACAAAAGCCTGATTCTGGGGCCTTAGACAGAGGTTTTTTGGAACAGGTATTCCATAGAATCATGGCCTTGTTCTAACAACCATTCCCCAACACCCGAGTGGTCTCACCTGGAGGGAGACGATGTGGGAATCCCTGCTGGGGATCTGATCCTGACCCAAGTGGGTTTGGAACTAAGGGACAATCCTCCTTTCTTCTGTCCCTGTGTGAAAAATGCCAATCAGTTGGGGTTTTTTAATTTTAATAATAATAAAATGGTTATAAAAATAACAATATAATCACAGTAATAAAGTTTAGAGTTAGGACAATTACAAGACAATAAAAAGCAAAGAATTACAGATGTCTGGATGCTCTCGGACACTAGAAGTGTGCTTTGTGAACAAAGGAATAACTTTAAAAGCAATAGCCTGTTGTATATTCATATATCTCATACATGATGCATAAATTCTTTGCAAATTAAGAACTTTTTTTGGTTTTGTCAACTTCTTCTCCTTAATCTTGTTGATTCTAGAAAGACAGAGAGAAGGCAGAAGAATGTTTGTCTTTTCTGATAAGGAGGCTGTAATTTTTTATGGGCCCCCTTCGCTACATCTCTGTGTGAAGAGTTTCTTGATTATTTCATCTTCTTGCTTGATCTTGTAACAAATCCTGTATTGTAGAGTTTCTATTTTAACATTATGTTGTAACCTAAAACTACATTTAACATACTACGCAAGAGAATTAATACAGCATAACTTTTTAACATTACACATATAATATTTATTGTAACATTTATGAAAAGCTAATCATAAAATATGCATTTTTCACACCTGCAAGGACAAATGTTTGCTAATTAGAGAGATCTTTTTGTAGACTGAAGGCAGAACTGCAAAACATGTGAATTCATGCAAATTCTGAGTGACACATGTAAGTGAAGTGTTATACATATGTCAACACACACACACACATAGAGAATATAAATTAAATATTCTGCATGGGCAAAACCTTCTGGACTCTGACTTAGATTCTGACAGTGCCTGAAATATGTGCAGCATTCACAAATTCCTCAAAATCTTTCAGAAAAGGAGTCTGAGGGTCTTCCTCCTGACTGTGAATATGAAATGCTTTTAAATGTTTACTATTTAATGCAGCAGAGCAACAGATTTAAGTGTTTAAGTGAGTTCTTTCTAGAGAATTAATTAGCTCTCAGATATTGAGAATTTTGCATGAAAATTTAGATTCCTGTGAGAGAAAAGAATTTGATGTTCCTGTTCAGAAGGATCTAAACGAAAATAATTTGATTTCCTGGAAAAAGGCCAAGTTCTAAAAACCAACAGATATAACAGCATAAACACATTCCCCACCTCACCCAGATTCCATTGAATTTTACAGTTCTGAACGATAAAAAAACCAAAATAACTTCAGTATCACTTCAGCTCTTGTGAAAAATGAAGACCTCATGTCTGTTAAATCCCTGTGCCCCTGAGACAGCACAAAACCCAGCAGCAGTGGTGGGAGAAAGGACAGAGGCACACACAACGTGGAGCAAGGCCCGGGGGAGTATTTGAAATGGTTGCAAGCAGATTTCTGGAAACATGGAACACATGCCTACCTTAATTGTCATTAAAAATATGAATAACCCTGGCATAGCAGCGTTTGGGGCATCCTCAGCTGCCACACTTCTGGGAAAAGGGGATTGAGAACAGATTCCCTGTTAATGTCTTTTCAGCTGGGATGGCTCTAGGGCCTAAAAAAACTCTGCTTTCTGTTAGGAAAAACTATAAAATGTTCAACAAAAGATGAAAAACATGTCTTTCATTGGCATAAAATCAGGACATTTCCTTGCAGGAGGGTGAATTGAAAATTCCCTAGAAAGTAGAATACAGAAAGAATAATTGCCACTGGCAGCAGACTCCAACCCTCGGCAAATACATGTGTTACAAATCTAACAAAACAAACAAATATTACTCAAAGCCTTGCATGTGTGTACAAGCCAGGTTTAATAATTTTTTTTAACCTTAGGATTGGGCTTTAAATTATATATAATTAGTGAAGTCCTTTCTTACTTCTATTTCCCACTTTAGTTCTTGAAATTTGGTGTCTATTGAATCCTGTTTTAGGGCTTTTTCTAAACCCAAGACGGAGAATTTTGTTAACAGTGCAATAAAAATAACTTCATAGTGTTACAAGGAAACATTAAAGACTTTTTTTTGTGTGTGCTGCTCTTTCCCTCGAAAAAAAAAAAAACTACAGACATTGTTTCTTTAAAAGGCTCCATCTGCAAATCCCATTAGATGTGCATATAAGGTTTCAGATGATTAATAGCTGCCTGCTTTGCTTTGGTTGGAGGGGCTGAGGGTATGTGTGTTAACCCCTCCCTCCCCTCGCTCACATTTCACTTCACAAACTTGCCACCGTCTCCCCGGCACAGTATTTAAAAAGTGTTTCCCTCGTGCCCAGCACTTCACCAGGGAGCAGCTCATGGCGTAATTCTGCTCCCCCAGCCAGGGCAATGAAGACCTTTAGAGCCAGAGTTGCTAAAGCAGCAAACCCGCAGCAGCACCAAAGCCACGCGCAGACTGTTGTTTAGGGAGGCGACCTGTGAAACTCGGGAGAGTTTCCCTGCGCTTCCCCCGTGCCTCTGGAGGCTGAGCGGAGCAGGCGGGAGCCGAGGCCGGCAGCGGCGCGGATGGAGCCCGGCAGCAGCGGCTGCCTGCGCAGCGCGCAGCGCCCCGCGCCCAGCGCAGCGCCGGGGCTCGGCCGCGGCCCCGCGGCGCCCTTCTCCTTCCAGCAGAAAGCACTCTGCGCCGCTTACCCCGACTTCTCAGCCTCCTGCCTGGTGACAGCTCCGCACAGCTTCCCCCAGGAGCAGCGCCCCTCGTTCCACTGCCCCGAGTGGCACCTGGCAGCAGGAGACAGCGCGGGACTGGCCCTGGGTGCTGGCGAGGCACAGGGCAGCAGCCCCAGCCTGCTGAGGCTGCCTGTGCCTCTGGAGGAAGATGAGGAGGCAGCGGCGAACCCTACAAGTGACTCTGAGAAAAAGCCATCCCGAAGGAAAAAGGAAAGCGCAGGTAGGTGATATGAAATCAGGGTTGTGGTAGACTGCAGGAGATGGAATGAGAACACCTGGTGAGACTGGGACTTAAGAAAGAAAGCTGCTGAGCAAAACATTCCATAGTATTTGACTGGGGAAACTTTAGATGGTAACAGCACTGTTATTGTCTTATTCTTACTCTTATTCTTACTCTTATTCTTACTCTTATTCTTACTCTTATTCTTACTCTTATTCTTACTCTTATTCTTACTCTTACCCTTATCCTTACCCTTATCCTTACCCTTATCCTTACCCTTATCCTTACCCTTATCCTTACCCTTATCCTTACCCTTATCCTTACCCTTATCCTTACCCTTAATTACTCTTACTCTTACTCTTACTCTTACTCTTAATTACTCTTACTCTTACTCTTCTTTTTCTGGTCTTTGTATTTCACTCCTGCACATCTTGGGTGCTGAACATTTTACTCTCCAGCACAATGCACATTTGCTGTAACTGAGCAGGAGTCACATGGCATGTGCACACAGAGCTGAATTCTAGGGTGTGGAGTTATCCAGTCACACCTGCCATTTGTCTGAGCAAAAGAGAATGGCAGAGAGCAAAGATCCCTCATCTTGAGCTGCCTGTGCTAATAGGGAATGTCATATTAGGAATTTGACATCTCAGTTTATGGTAAGAAGTACAAGAGGCAAAGTCTTCCTTTAAATATAAATTCTGTTTGGTCTCACTAAATGTCAAATATTTTAACCTCAGAGCAGAAGGTTCAAAAACTTTGCCCATCAGTAAAATATCCAACAATGCAGAAAATGTACATGGTTTTCATTGTGTCATCCTAGCTGACACTGTAAAAATCAATAATTTTGTAATTATACAAACTCTAAGTTGCTGATAACTCACATCCAAATCAGTGAAATATGCATGAAATTGTTTTTTCTTAGGAAGTTGTTACAATTTAAGATGCTCTTATGCATTCAAATGCCACAGTATTCACATACAAGCTACAGTGTGCTTTTCCCCACAGTCCTGCCAACAAGTGGAGAATATTTTCCAGTAGCCTAATTTCACAGGCAGAGAATGCAGGGATAAAAATATTAATTGATTGGTTTCTAGATTTTGCAGACATTTGTAGAATTTAAGCTCATTTATACTAAAAAAAGCATGTTTAGGCAAAATTTTCCCAAATACAAAGAAGTTTAAATAAAATAGCAATTTAAAAGGTGAACAACGCTTTCATTAAAACAACAGCTAATCATAGGTAAACAGCAGATTTCAGCTTACTCACATTAGAGGGATATCTTTATCCTTAAAGAGACTGATACCCTCTTTTAAGTGGAAGAAAAACATTCCTTTATTTTCTCTTACTAGCACTCTTCACACTTCCTTTTCATACTTGCTGCTGTTCCCTACTCTCTTCCTTTCAGGGAGCTGTAAGCAATGACATCCCTGAGAGGTCTGGGCTTCCACCTTCCAGTGACCACTGCAGCCCTGGGGAGGGGCAGCTGCTAAATTCCACCCAGCATGGAACTGGTTGGGATCCTGGAAGGAGACACACTCCTTGGGAAAGGCACACATCTGCCTCTGGCTCCTTTCCTTTCCTTTCCTTTCCTTTCCTTTCCTTTCCTTTCCTTTCCTTTCCTTTCCTTTCCTTTCCTTTCCTTTCCTTTCCTTTCCTTTCCTT